TTTTGAAATTGATGGCGAAGAAATCTTCCAAAGCAACTCATTCAGGTTCAATTTTCTTTATTGTGAAAGTATTCTGCTTATGCATTGTTATTTTTTAAAGCTTTATAAAATTTGTAATAAAATATTTTGAAAATCAAGTTTAACTGAATGCCAATAAAATTCCAATACATCATCACGAATATTGTAATATCAGTATTATCTATCATTTTAACGAGATAATAGATTGGCTCAATTAGGATATAATTGTAATATCGACACACGAGAATTTTTTAATTGAATTAATTAAAATTTGTGAATAAATGAATTTTAGAAAAAGGAATTAAAAAAAGTAGAGCAGAAGATATACCGAAAGGTTTGGAAGATGAAGAATATTTCCATGGTCTATTACCACGTGAAGATTGCAGTGAAATTTTGACAAAAGTTTGTATTCATAATTAGTACCTTTTAGGAATATGATATGTCAATGATTCAAGAAGAAAGGAATTTTTTTCAAAAAAAAAAAAGTATTTTATTATATCTTTATTAAATTTTTGCATTTTTTTTTTTTGCTATAGCAAAAAGAGGAATAATAAAAATAGGTTGGTGATTTTCTCGTACGTGTGTCGCAACCACGTCCAACTGATCCACGTGAAGTAATCATATCAGTACGAGTATCTAAGGAACAATCAGGACAATCAGTTTGTTTCATGCATTTGCAATCATTCCAAAATATTCATTATCAAATAAACTATAAATATTTATTATACTTTATTGATTTATTGATAAAATTCGAATATTTTCAGGAATGTTCTTTTCATAGGTAATTGCTTCAATTTTTAGATTCGGCATATAATTGTTAAGAAGCAAAAACTTCCAGACGGACAGACTGTGTGGATTGCAATTGAAGCAATTAAATTCACGTCATTCTTTGAATTGCTTGAACATTACACGAAAAAAGGCGATCCAATTAATCCGGAAGTATTACTTTTTCTCAGCTAACATTATGGCTATAACAATTTGTTATGCTAACTAGCATTCTAGCTAACAGCATCAGAAGAAAATAGTTTCATGGATTCAAATGGTTAATACTAGGTTAAATTGAAATTTTGACAGATGGTTAAATTAAAATTTAAAAAAATATATATATTTTTCGCCATGTACGTTCTATTTTCATGCAAAATGTTATCAGTTATCATTATAATATAAATCTGATAGAAAAATAAAATGAAATTGCAAAAAAATTTCAATAATCATTCAAAATTCATTCAAAAATTTTCCACAATTTTTTTGATAAATTGATTAAGTGTAACTGGATATTATAAAATATGTATGTTATCAATTTTATCTTCCAATAGTGTGACTTTAGTAAGGTTTAAAGTAATTGTACTTCATGTCAATTAATCGTTCAACATATTTAGTTAATAACTTATTTCTTTGTTTTCTTCATAAAAGATATAATTACATTGAATTTTATCAAAGTCATACTATTAAGACTGAATTTTGGAAAATTTCGAAATTATTCGAAAATAATTCGAGCAGTTAATTTTTTTTATTTGTTTAATTAATAGATGATATTGAGAATTTGCAATTTTTTTTTCAGTTATTGCTATTCACATTTTATAAAAATGCTTGAATTTTTCTACGGAATATACGGTTGAAATTTTTGAAGAGATAAAATTCCCGATAGAACAAAAATTAATCGCAAAAAAAATGAAAGAAAAAAATGATTAAAGTAATTTGGTGTACAATTTCCTGTAATTAAACTAATTTTTTGGAAATTTAAAAAAAAAAAATTCATATTATATAGCTGGAAAATAGTGTGCTGATCAAAGCAATTAAGCGTCAACCGTGGGAATTTAGCCATGATGATATCACACTTAAAGAAATGCTTGGTTCTGGTGCATTTGGTGAGGTTCGATCCGGTGAATTAACCATTAACAAGAAAAAGACTGCATGTGCTGTGAAAATTGTTAGTGCATTAAAAAAAAAAGAAGTAAAAAATAAAAAAAAAAAGTGAAAAACATTCATACTCAAATCTTATTAAATATGCAGAAATTCGATGAACAAAATAGTAATTACGAAATTAAATTTAAATTTTATTATCCTACATATTTACAACTTTTTTTTTTATTTCTGCATAAAATTTAGGCTAAACTTACGGTTACGGAAACACAGATGGCATTTCGAAAAGAGAAAATTAAAGAAATGATGCATGAGGCACGTTTGATGCGTCATTATGATCATGATAATATTGTACGCATTTATGGTGTTGCGGTAGATCGTGAACCATTGATGATTGTAATTGAATTGGTAACGAGCATTTTCGCTCATTCAAGAAAGTTCAATTTCATAAATTAACTAACATCTGTTATCCTGTATGAAATGATTTTAGAAGAAAAAAAAAAGCTTGAAAAATTTTAATTCAAAAGTTGAAAAAAAAAATGAATTTAGAAATAAATAACATTTGATGAATTTAAAACTTTTTAAAAATTTATTTCATCTATGATAATTATTTGTTGGTAAATTTAAAATTTACTTAAAAGTTTAGCACATCATTATCCTTCATGAAATAATTTTGGAAGAAAAAAAAA